CCGTCCTAGATGCTGTGATTCCGGCTCTGTCTACTGGACAATGTTCAGCGGATCTGGCATCGATTCGGGCAGTGAACCATCGTCACTGTAAAATGTTTTCTATCAGAAAACGGGCTACCTTCGTTTCAAGTCTTTTTGAGTGGAAGACGGGCCTGGCATCGATAGTGAATTATTATACCCTGGGTAAATGAGGGGCTTAGTGAGCACCAGCGTAGTCGTATCCGTCGCTGTTGACTGAACTTCAGTCACTGAAGCTGGAACCACCCTGGCGATCGCGAATTATTAGTTCCGCCAGGTATCGTTGCGAGTTATCCGGTAGGACCCGCATGGCTGGATCCACTCAAGTTTCCGCAACCGTTTCCGGCTAGCTGATGCGTATTATCGGGTAGGGTCTGCATACATGTCGCTAGGCAGGATCCACTATAAGAACCGGTTTGCCATGGTATAGGTGCTCTAATACCGGTCAAAAACAGCCTGCCAAAGACAATGCTGCTGAAAGTAGCCAGACCAAGACTACTACTGCCCTCACTACTACTACAACTACTACTTCCAGTCCATCATCAACAATCACATCGGTTATAGGTGACACTTTGAGAACATTCTTTATAATGCCTTCTCCCCATAATGGAAAAGAACTTCTTTCCCACTCAAAGAAGACCCTGTGCCTTGGCTAACCAGATTTGATTCAACCTTGGATATGCTATGTAATCGTGTCCCTCCCGGTAAGAAGTTCGCCTTGTTGCGCCTCAATCCCCAAGGTGGTGCTTATACGACAATCGAGGCCAACGTCTGTCCCTCATCACACGTTACTGTAGTCGAGGATGACAAACTCTATCGTAAACTTTACGACGTAAAGCCCGAATGGTGCTGATAGATGGGTATGGTATGGATCTATCCAAGAGCTGGCATCAGTTCATCAATCGTAAGCTTCATCCTAACGAATCTCTAGCTGAGTTCCTTACCGAGCCACAACGCTTGGTATCATTATCGAGACCATCGGGTATCAAGCTCGACCAAACATGGATGTACTCAGCAGCTTGCCTTATGTTCTGGGAAGGTTTTCCGAGTGATATTCCAGGGTTGCCAGCCCTGAAGAGTCAATGGAAGACTCCTTGGGAGTCTCGTGGTGATATTGTAGAGGGCTGCCTCAGATTGGCTAAGAGTGTTAAGATTTATGAGTCAGCAACCATAGCTGCTGTTTCAGCTTATCCTTCATACCCTTCTGCAAAAGGGAAAGGAAAGGGGAAAGGCAAAGGAAAGGGCTTCAAAGGAAAGGGCCGGACTTGGAAGGGCAAAGGTCGATTTGGTTTCCGGAATAGAACTATTTATAAGAGTGATAACTCTTGAGATGTGAGATGTTCCTGTTGTAATGGTCGTGGCCATGTAGCTTAGGATTGCCCCAGTCAGCCCGGTAGTAGCGACAGCAATAATAATGTAATCATGAGTATGCTAGATACTAATGAGAGCCGTCATCTCTCTGTTACACTCAGATCAACCGAGAGCAGTGATATCATCAGGTATGGGATGGTTGAAACTGGATGCACAGTAAGCCTAGTAAGTGAAGGGTTAGCGGATGCAAGTCATTGCTATCAGGTACACGGTGTACCGTACACTCTGTGAGCCGAAAGCTGATGCTCGGTAGTATCCCCGGGAATTGTGAAGCGTATAAACTCAATAATGGTCCAGCATTAAGTTTGGGTGGTGTTATAGTTCAATTGGTGAAAGAGAGATAGATCCAATTTTTGGTATGGATTGGGTAAGATCATGTGGTGAGCTAGTAATTAAACCAATAACAACTAGTAATGAAGTAGTTGAGATAAATCTAAATCATGCTGTAGGAAAACATGTAAACAAAAACTAACCGATATCTTTTGGAGTTGCGGTTCCATTACGGGACACAGCGAAACACAACAGTGAAGTCGATCAAAATAAGAATACACCCAAACGAAAAAGATCAGAATTAGAATCAAAGATTATATCGAAAACTAATGAAAAAGAACTCATAATCGAGTAATTAGATCTAACACTCCGTCGGAAAAGAATAGAATTGAACATTTTCAGGCGGGAAGCTGAATGGAAATGGAAGAATAAACCCGAGTCAGTTGTATACAAGCCATTATATTACCCAGGTGCAATGCCACCAGCAAGACAAGATCGCGATGGCTTAGGTCACGTGTTTGTGAACTCTGCTCAACGATGCTTTTTGGCCTGGTATGTGGTCCAGCTTGCTTAGAAGAAGCAACTCACCACTTTGATTCGGTAATCGCAAAATCATCTTGCGCTTAAAACCAATGCCACACCATGTATTTCTCATTTAGGCTATCAACTGCGACTCAACAAAGAAGGAGAATTGAAAATTCGTTGTCAGTGCAAGCCTTTGCCTGATTTTGATTCTCACCGGCTGACAAAGCGCATCATCTACTCCATTACTGGCCACTTCACTGACTTTCTCAAGTTACATTCTGAATACCACAGTATATGTGATGCTCTGAAGTCCATACCTC